CTGCTGAGCAGTGAACCTCTGGTCCATTATAAACATCTCACATTACCCCATTTCTTGAAAATCACAGGGTTTTTTAATGTGGTTAAATGTTCAATTGAATTTTAAATCCAATTTCAGTGAAGGCTTATGAATACTAACTTTGATTTGGACCATTTAAATCTCTTTCAAATTTAATTTATTTATATCAGAGTAAATATTAGGGGGAGGCAGTGCTTGAGCCATACAGGTGGTGCTCAGGACTTGTTCCTGACTCAGTGCTCAGGGGTCACTCATGGCAGTGTTGGGGACCATATATTGTGCCAGGAATTAAATTGGGCATGGCCATGTGCAGGGCAAGTGCCTTAACCCCTGTACAATCTCTTTGGTCCTTGTGTGTTATTTTGTGCCATACTGGCAGTGCTTGGGAAGCTAACCCTGGCGGTGTGCATGGGAATTGCTCTCGGAGATGCTTGGGATGTATCTTTGGCCTTCCCCATGCAAAGCATGCGCTCAGCCTGTTGAACTATCTCTCTGTTCCAGAATAAAAAAAACTGTTCTAATGCATCCAGAGTTAGGTTGTATATTTTTTTTTTGAGGGTGAGTGGATACTAAGGGAGGGGGAATTGGAGCTACACCCTGTGGTATTCAGGGATTCTTCCTTGCTTTGTGCTCAGAAATGACCCTTGGTGGTTCCCAGGATGGAGATAAGCCAGGGTCAGGTGCATGCGAAGGAAGTGCCTTAAATCCTGTACTCTCTCACTGGTCCTAGAGTTAGAGTTAGATTTGGGGTTCCTTTATTTCTGCTTTGCAGTCTTTGGGACATAGTTCTCTTTTCACTGCTCTGTCTTTCAATTCTCTAAGACTGTTAGTATTCAGTGCCTCTAGATACCTTTTTATTTACTTTTCTGAAAATTGATAAACAGTGGGTTTTTCTTAGCAGTTTAGGTGCTGCTTTTGCGGTTTTCCAGAGTGTCAGGAAGTACTCTGCTGATGGTTGTATTCATTATTGCTCTTTGCTATTTGGATTTCTCCTGTTGAGAAATGGCTTCTTGTCTCTCATTATTCAGGGGCACCTGGGTTGGGCAGATACCTGATAACAGTGTTGCTAAAAGCAGCCTTTCCCTTCACAACCCAAAATGACACTACCACTTAGAGAAAATAATGTGTCAAAAAATCACGAAACATGGTTCTGCCATTCATTCTTGTGACTTTCAGTATATGTCTTATCCTTAGTGAGACTGGAGGAGTGTCTTGGTTTTCCTTATTTATTAAATTTGGGGTCAGACTGTGTGCCAAAGTGCATTGGAACTAGCTATTCCTACCACTTTGATTGTAGGGTCAGATGGTATATAACATACTTGTAGGAGCTTCTGTGGACTAAAGCCAAACACAAATGTGAATCTTGGTCATCTTGTGGCTCAGAAAACCTGTGGTCTCGAGAGCTAGGATAATTTCTGACTCACTTTGGCTATGAGAGGTTTATCGTGACTCCCACAGGTCCCCAAGCTTGAAACTATTCCTCTGGAGATTTGAACCTGGTTCTAAATTTGTTCTTACATAGACTGAAAATCATAATGTTGATGATTTTATCATCATTGATGGATTGCAGATCTATGTTAAACAGCAAACATTATATAGTAGGCAAAAAATAAAAATTTGTTGTTTTGGTTTTTGGCCACACTGGGCAATGTTCAGGGATTACTCCTGGCTCTGCACTCAGGAATTACTCCTGAAAGTGCTCAGGGGAACCATATGGGATGCCGGGGATTAAATCTGGGTCAGCCACATGCAAGGCAAACACCCTACCCACTATACTATCACTTAGCCCCAGAAATGAAAATTCATTGACAAGTTATCATATGAAATTGTTTCCAGATATCCTAGAACACTTATAAGTGTGAAAAATAGTTTTAGTACAAAGAAAAATTATAGATCACAACTCATGTGTTCATTACTCAGGTTGTAACATAAATGAATCATACTATATGGTCTCTTGTATTTTGCTGATTTTCTCAGTAATATTTTTGTGGTGTAGAACTAGACATCATTTTTTTAAATTTTTTAATTTTTATTAGTGAAATACCATGAGGTACAGTTGTAGACTTACAAATTTTTGTGCTTGGGTTTCAGTTATACAATGATCAAGTACCCATCCGTCTACCAGTGCCCATTTTCCACCACTACGGATCCCAGTATCCCCCCCCCCGCCCCCCATGCCCCCTATCCCACCCTACCTCTGTGGCAGGGCATTTCCTTTTGTTCTCTCTCTCCTTTTGGTTGTTATAGTTTGCAAAAGAGGCATTGAGTGGCAATCATGTTTGGTCTATAATCTACTATCAGCAAACTTCTCCCATCCTGGGAGGATCCTCCCAACACCCTTTATTTGGTGCTCCCTTCTCAATCTGAGCTCCCTTTTCCCCTAGCATGTGTGGCTGGCTTCCAAGCCATGGAGCAAAATTCCTGGTACTAATCTCAGCCACTCTTGGGTGTTAGTCTCCTATTTTGTTACTTTATGTTCCCCAGATGAATGCAATCTTTTTATGTCTATCCCTCTCTTTCTGACTCATTTCGCTTAACATGATACTTTCCATGTTATACCACTTGTATGTAAACTTCATGACTTCATCTTTTCAAACAGCTACATAGTACTCCATTGTGTAAATGTACCAAAGTTTCTTTAACCAGTCATCTGTTCTTGGGCATTCAGGTTTCTTCCAGTTTCTGGCTATTGTAAAGAGTGCTGCAATGAACAAACAAGCGCAGATGTCACTTCGACTATACATTTTTGCCTCTCTAGGATATATTCCCAGGAGTGGTATTGCTGGGTCAAATGGGAGCTCAATTTCTAATTTTTTGAGAATCATCCGTACTATTTTCCAAAAGGACTGAACCAGTCGACATTCCCACCAGCAGTGAAGGAGGGTCCCTTTCTCACCACATCCGCGCCAACACAGATTGCTTTTGTTCTTTTGGCTGTGGGCCACTTTCTGTGGTGTGAAATGATATCTCATTGTTGTTTTGATCTGCATCTCCCTGATGATTAATGATGAAGAGCATTTTCTCGTGTGCCTTTTAGCCATTTGGATTTCTTCTTTGAGAAAGTTTCCATTCATTTTGTTGTCCCATTTTTTGATGGGGTTGGATGTTTTGTTCTTGTGGAGTTCAACCAATACCTATTATATCTTTGTCAGATATCAACCCCTTGTCGGATGTGTATTCGGTGAATATCCTTTCCCATTCTGTAGACTGTCTTTGTACTTTGGTCACTGTTTCTTTTGAGGTGCAGAAGCTTCTTAGTTTAAGATAGTCCAACTTGTCTATCTCTGTTTTCACTTTCTTGGCCAGTGGCATGACATCTTTGAAGATACCATTAGCTTCAATATCATGGAGAGTTTTGCCAACTTTGTCTTCGATGAACTTTATGGATTCCGGTCTGATGTTGAGGTCTTAAATCAATTTTAATCTTACTTTTATGCATTGCGTTAAGCAGAGATCTGAGCCCACTTTTTTGCATGTAGCTGTCCTGTTTTGCCAGCACAATTTGGTAAGGAGGCTTTCCCTGCTCCACTTCACTTTTCTTGCCCCCTTATCGAAGATTAGATGATCATATGATTGAGGGGAGATGTCAGTATATTCAACCCTGTTCTACTGGTCTACAGCTCTGCCTTTGTTCCAATACCATGCTCTTTTAATTATTACTGCTTTGTATTAGAGTTTGAAGTTAGGGAGGTTAATTCCTCCCATTTTCTTTTTCCCAAAAATTGCTTTAGCTATTCTAGGGGGCTTATTGTTCCATATAAATTTCAGGAGTGTTTGCTCTATTTCTTCGAAGAATGTGATGAGTATCGTAATAGGGATCGCATTGAATTTGTACAGTGCTTTGGGAAGTATTGCCATTTTGACAATGTTAATTCTCCCGATCTATGAACAGGGGATATTTTTCCATTTCCTCGCGTCCTCTTTTATTTCCTGAAGTAGCATTTTGTAGTTTTCTTTGTACAGGTCCTTTACTTCTTTAGCTAAGCTGATTCCCAGGTACTTGATTTTCTGGGGCACAATTGTGAACAGGATTGTTTTCTTCATGTCACTTTCTTCTCTTTCACTATTTGCGTATAGGAAAGCCATGGATTTTTGGGTATTGATTTTATAGCCTGCAACTTTACTATACAAGTCTATTGTTTCTAGAAGTTTCTTGGTAGAGGTTTTAGGGTTCTCTAAGTATAGTATCATATCATCTGCAAATAGTGAGAGCTTGATTTCTTCCTTTCCTACCTGGATGCCCTTAATATCTTTTTCCTTCCTAATTGCTATTGCAAGTACTTCCAGTACTATATTGAACAGTAGTGGAGAGAGTGGGCATCCTTGTCTCATCCCTGATCTTAGGGGTAAGGCTCTCAGTTTTTCCCCATTGAGGATGATGCTTGCTGTAGGCTTGTGTTAGATGGCTTTAACTATATTGAGCAAAGTCCCCTGTTAGACACATTTTTATCACTTTGTTCAACTATCATTTGAATAAGCTACAATTTCTTTATCTGTCTCACATTGATATATAGGTTGGTTCCTATTTGGGGTTCTTACAGTATTACTGAACATTTTGCATGTTTTGCACCTGTTTCTTTGGGAAAACATAGGAATTTGTTTAACTATATATACTAAATATTGGTACTGGTGGTCATGGGATATGGCATATTTTCAACTAGCTGTGAATTTAATCTTCAGTGGAGATTTTAAAATACCCCTCCCCTATTTTTTGTATATGGTCCACACCAATAGTGTTCAGAGCTTACTTGTGGCCCTGTACTCAGGAATCACTCCTGGAAGGGCCCAAGGAGTGTATGAAATGCTGGTTATTGAAGCTGGGTCAGCTGAGTACAGCTGAGTACAGCTGAGTGGTATTGCTGGGTCAAATGGGAGCTCAATTTCTAATTTATTGAGAATCGTCCATATTTTTTCCAAAACAGCCCATATTTTTTAATGAAATTTAAAGTGTGCTCATCTGAAAAGGTTTATCTTTCTTATAGAAAAATGCAAGAATGGCAGCAGAAAAGCATTATTCTAACACCCTAAAAGCAGTAGGAATATCTGATGAATTTGTTTCAAAGAAGGGTCAAAGTGGAAGAGTATTTGAGTACTTCAAAAATCAAGAGATGAAGAATTTTATGGAAGATAAAGAAAGGTAACATATATAAATTATCTAAATGTTTTATCTTTGAAAAAGGTCTCTCCTGCAGGGAAGTATAAATACCTGTTCTATTATATTTTTAAAGATCTTTTACTTTATGGGATACATATGAACCTTTTTAGAACAATGTTATTTTAATGTATTTGTCATTCAAAATATTAGACAATTGATGAAGCATCTTGTTTTTGTGTGAGCTTTTTGTTTGTTTTTTGGTATGGGGGCATAACCGGCTGTATTCAGGGCTTACTCCTGACTCTGTGTTCAGGGCTCACTTTTTTCAGGAGTCATTCTGGTAGGCTCAGGGGACCATATGTGATGCCAGGGATCAAACCTGGATTAACTGCATGCAAGGCAAGTGTCATACCTACTGTATTGTCACTCTGTCTCTGTTGTATCTTGTTCTTTTTTTTTTTAATTTATTTATTTATTTTGCTTTTTGGGTCACATCCAGCTTTGCACAGGGGTTACTCCTGGCTCATGTACTCAGGAATTACTCCTGGCAATGCTCGGGGGACCATATGGGATGCTGGAAATCGAACCTGGGTTGGCCGCGTGCAAGGCAAACATCCTACCCACTGTGATATCGCTCCAGCCCCTGTATCTTGTTTTAAAAACAGAATAACTTAAATGTCAGACTGACAATGAAAATAATGCCATTTCAAATAAAGTTAAGAGTCAAATTTTGAAATAAGATATCAGAGGAATTTTTAATTTTCCCACTTGATTCTTTATAGAGTTTTCTTAAGAAATTGAAGCTCATACACTCAGGGAAGACTCACTACACAATTGCATATCTTGCCGAAGGTTTATTTACCTTTAAACTAAATCAGTTGTCCCTTAAAAGATTGATACATTTTTCCCTCTAGCTTTAATGAAGAAGAAAAAGTAGAAGAAAGAGAGAATGGGGACATGAGTTATTTGATTGATACCAACAGCCAGGATTCTTGTGAGGAAAAAGACGAAGACCATGAAGAAAGTGGAGAAGAGAAATCCGTTGAAGAATGAAATGAAATCAGCAGAGGTTTCTTCTCTGTGCTCAGACTGTTTATCACCTTGTTGTGACCGAGGCTGCTATGTATTATGAATGTGGATGGGAGCTTGCTTGTATGAGCAGGACGGAATTCAGCTGTTTGGTCAATTAGAGGAAGGCCTTGCCTGCTTAGTTTTTAACATTGCATAAGGTCTGTTTGTAGGTAGGGGGATTCATGTGTGTGTGTGTGCATGCGCCCGTGTGTGTGTGTGTGTGTGTGTGTGTGTGTGTGTGTGTGTGTGTGCGCACATGTTCATGTGGTAGTGGTAAAAATTTAGTGGTAGTGGTAGGAATCACTCAGGGATCCGGTACTATTTCTGGGGGTACTTGTGCCTGTTGTGCTTGATAGCCACCAAGGCTATACCTAGTGGTGCCCAATAATCTGGAGGCCACATGGTTCTGGGGTCAAACCCTAAACCTCTCAATGCAAGACACATGCTCCCTCAGTTGCACTTCATCCCCAGCTCCTGTTTGTAACCTTTTCCTTTTTTGTTGGTGTTGGGACCAAACCCAGGGCCTTCCACATGGAAGGCAAGTGCTTAGCTGATGAACTCCACCCACAGCCTTTCCTGTTTGTAACTTTGATCTTGTATTTTAAAAGAAGATTTCGAGAAGCACAGCTGTCACAAACAATCATGTTGTTAAAGTGTACTTTGTATTTTCTCTGGGGAAAAAAATGACAGCTTCAAAAGTATTTGTCTTTGACAATTAGTTCCAGAAACGTTTCTGAAAAGCAAAAACAAACATTGAATAAAACAGTTAAAATACTATTTTCTAATATTTTTTTCTAAATGAATCCACAAACTTTCTTTACTTGTTTTTATGAGCCATTTTAAAAATAAAAATAATATTGGAAGGATTTTAACAAATTTAGATTCATTTCTACATTGAGAATTTACTGTTAAATTACCCACATCATCATAACTTTTTCTTTTTTTGGGAGAGGGGGATTGGACTACATTCATGGTGCTCAGGGGCTAGTTCTGGCTCTGTGCTCAGAAGTAACCCTTGGCAGTGCTTGAGAATTCATATGAGGTGCCAAGGATTTGAACTGGTGTCAGCTTCATGCAAGTCCTTACCCCCTGTACTTTATCTTTGTTCCCAAGATTGACTCATTTAGATATTATTTTATTAGAAATAATGCTTCAAACGCTTTTAAGAGTGTCTAGTAAATAGAGTAGATTTTTTTTAATTTCAAATAATTCTGTGTAATCACTTTAAGAAAGCTATCAAATTATTTCTCTGTGTGTGAAGTAATATAGTTTTATTTAGAGAAATATGAAGAGATTTGTGTGTGAGCTATATGTTTGTAAGATAACACAAACTTCTCTAGAGGGATGAAAACTGAAAGCCATCCAGTTGACAATGTGAAAGATTACTTTAGCACGTGCTATTACACAGTGATGCTCAAAGTCCACTTTAAAGTGTAAATATGTTTTACGTATGGTGGGTAACTTTGAAAAGATTGGGTGTTGTATTATCTGAATTCGCCCTGCTCTCTCCTTTCATTTGCATGGTTGTCAAGATGGTTATGCTCTCTCTTTTTTTTTAATGTAAGAAAAATATTCCTGGGTTACTTCTTAGTTAAAAATTTATTCACAGTGAAATATATATATATAAAGATATACATGGGTGTAGAGATACCAGTATCTAATATGTCTGTTAATATGTATATTGATGTTTAGATACATAAATCAATATCTCATACACCCAGTGAACTCGTGTTCAAAACATGGAAATACATGTACTGAATACATAGTTACATGAAGTATAGCCATGTATACTCTGTATAGAGATAGACTTGCATGTGTACATATGTATATATAACATGAAAATTTTTAGAATTCCTTTTTGTCACCCTTCATTTCCTTTTGTTGTGTTATTATCACTGGCATTCACACACTTGGTTGCAGTGAGCTGGAATTTACACCATTGTGGCACCAGAGATCCAAATAGCAGAGCTGCTGGAATTGTACTTGATCATGTGAAGTGGTGCTTACTGGGTAGGTGCTATAGCACTGAGTCATCACTGGCCGCTTAGAAGTGATTCTTTTACTCCATTTATTTAATCTACACTGTAAAATAATACCTTATAAGGATAGCATGCCTTTTCCTCATAAACAGTGTAAGTTAATGCTAATAATTTGAGAGTAATACAGATTTCATCATTTGGACTAGGCAATAAATAAATAAATTTTAAATAAATATTTGGGGGGCATAGAAATAGTTTAGAGAGTAGGGTGCTTGCCTTGCATCCTGCTAACTGACTTTTGAATCTCCAGCAACTTCAGAGCACATAGCCAGGCATTTCCAGGTGTGGTCCACAACCCTCCTGCCCCCCACAAAAAAAAAGCAGAAATAAGTCAGAATCTTTGTATCACGTTTTTTTTTAAGTATTTCTTATGAGATCAGCAGTGCTTTGCATCTCACCTGGGAGACAGGTAGCAAATCCTGTCCGTTTCTCAGAGGAGGAAAGTTGAATAACCCAGGTAATATCAGGCCTGACCTGAGTCAGCTGTCTCACCCTGTTCCTCAAGGAATGTTGCCTTCAAAACAGAAGATGGGTTCAGTTCAAGGACTAGGCTGACTCAGAGCCAAAGCAATGGTTTCGTTCAAGTAAAGAGCAGCAGGATCTAGAAACTTAAAAAAATATCCCAAGTACAATGTTAGGTATAAGAAAGAGGTTGCAATCTTGATGTGAAAGTTCTCAGGAAGAAATAAAAGCTTTTTAATATTTTGAAAGTTTTCTTTCAGGGCTCATGTGTGAAGGCCTGGATTTCAGATTTCATCCCTGGTGCGCGCACACACACACGCACACACACAATGTCTTTTATATTCATGGTTAAAAATCTCTGGATAATATAGAATATAGAATGTCCTACTTAAAAAATAAAGCAATAGTTCTGTGTGTTTTCTTCCAGAAAAGTCCTGTAATAGATTCCTTGTGTATGTTCTATGGGTACATTCTGTACCATGTAGAAAGTTTCTGCATCCCATAAAGGTCACATGGTAACTAACCAATTTCACAGGAGACTGCTGGTTTGTCCCTTGAGGAGGCTACTTCTGTTGACAACTTGCCTTTCTCCAGACTTCTTAGGCTTTACATTGTATACTTCCTTGTCTATGGAACCATTTTCTCTTCCACCTCATAGAGACACACTGAAGTTATTCTGTCATCGGATAGCAGTATGAACTTTGATCTTAATTGCTGCTTCTTAATATATGTCTTTCCAAATGGCATTAAGCTTGAGGTTCCTTTACTCTTTGTTTCTTTTGCACCTTTGCACTGATTTTATTCCTTTCTTGTTTTTTTAGGTAGAATCCTGTGGAAGAGCATTCTTCTTTCCACGCACTTTTCTCTTCTCTGGTATTGTCCTGCTTTTCTGCCTTCTTTGCCAGCAGCTTTTATTTCTTGTGTCCCTGAATGATTCCCTGAACATCCCTCTTGACTCCCTCTTTTGCCTCCTTATCAAATACAGCCTTTCCCAATAGAATCCGCAATTGAAATCTCTCAAATCCATGTCCCAGCCTGAGACCACAGCTCAGAGACTTTCCTTTTAATGACCCAGTGTTCCTCAAGTGCAAAGTGCCTAAAACTAATTTTCGGTAGTCTTGCTTTCCCAGTAAGCAGCACTGCCTGCAGAAACCTGAGAGTTTTCATTCTTGCTTCTCTATTGCTGTGTCTAAGCCATCATCAACATGTCCTGCTGGAAACCTTTGTAGAATGGATCTGACGAGTCAGTTCTCTGGCCTTTCCACTACCGCACTCTCATCCAACTCTGTCATCTGTCTTATCAGTGGAAATGCAGCCTTTTATGATTGTGTGTCCCACCAAGAAAAAAGGAATTTGAGTATGTACCTCTAGGGTGTTGAGGAAGAAGATCTCCCAAACAATACTGGGGTAGTTGGGTCACCATTTCTAATAATGCTTGGCCCAGTGCTGCTCGGGCTTAGGGGTCCTGGGGAAACCTGTGGTGCCGGTCAACCCTGTGTTCTCCGCCAGACTTGCATTTGTTTTGTTTTGTTTTGTTTTGTTTTGGGGGGTCACACCTGGTGATGCACAGGGGTTACTCCTGGCTCTGCACTCAGGAGCTACTCCTGGCAGTACTCGGGACCATATGGGATGCTGGGAATCGAACCCAGGCAGTTCGTGTGCAAAGCAAACACCCTACCCACTGTGCTATCTCTCCAGGCCCTACACTTGGTCTTTTGAGTGATCTCTCCACCATTGTATTTTTGTATAATGTTACATTTTAATATGTTATATGTATAGATATATCATCTTGGGAGGACACAAAAGCAGTGCTTGGGACCTATTCCCAGCTCTTTTTTCAGAGTTTGCTCCCAGCAGTGCTCAGGAGAAGTGCTCACTGCCAAGTGCTGGGAACCAAACCCCGGTCTCCTGCAGGCCAAGCCTGTGTTCAGCCCTCTGAGCCATCTCACATGCCCTATTATAAATGTTATTTATTTTTATTTTCTTGGTTTTTGAACCATACATGGTAGTGCTCTGCCCTTACTCCTAACTCTGTGCTCAGGGATAACTCCTGGAGGGGTAAGGGGAAACCCTATGGGGTGCTGGAAATCAAACCTGGGTCAGTTGCATTCCAGGCAAGTGCCTCATCTAGAGTACTATCTCTCTGGCCCATTTTATTTACTTTTCTCAATATATTGGGGTTTTTTAAATTTTTTATATACTGTTTATGTGTGTGTTAATATATTATGTACATTACAAAACATATAAAAGACCTTTAAATGGTAAAGATTAGAATAACAAATTATCTTACGGGTCTAGAAAAATGATACAGCAGGTAATGTGCTTGCCTTGCACAGAACAACAAGCCCCACTAAGGGTGATCAATCCCTGACCAAAACCCTCCCCCAACCACCAAAAAAATAAGTATCTTAAAAGCAATTTTTATTTGTTTTTGGACCACACCCAGTAGTGCTCAGAATTACTCCTGGTGCTGTGCTCAGGGATCAATTATGGTGGGGCTCAGGAACTATATTGGGTCCTGGGGATGGAACCCAGTTAGTTATATGCAAGGCAAGTGCTCTACTGCTGACCTGTTGCTCTGCCCATCCAACAATTTTGGAGGGAGAGGAGGGTTTTGTGCCATACCTGGTGATGCTCAAGGCTTACTCCTGGCTTTACACTCAGAAATTA